ACTTTTCAGAAGAGTCATCCATGAAATAGCATTTTCAAATCCATAGAGAAGTATGCACTCTGAATGCTGGCCATCTCGTCCTGCTCTTCCACATTCCTGGAACTACTCTTCCACAGACTTAGGCATTTTGAAATGGATAACAAATCGCTCATCAGGCTTGTCTATTCCCATGCCAAATGCGTTTGTTGCAACAATGACCTGTTGTGAATGAAAATAAGATGAACATGAAAGGCTACTCCAAAAAATGAAACAATCATTTTTATCCACGATATAGAAAGACCCGGTGTCGGCGCTCCCTATGCCACTGCGCTCAAAAGGTGGCATCAGATCTCGTACCCGAAAGTCAGTACCTGCTGCGACCGCCGCCGCGCTGCAGTCGAGCGGTACGCGCCCCCTCCCTTCCCCGCCTCTTCCCCCCGCCTCCCGCTGGGCCCTTCCCGGGTGGCGGGGAGAGGAGGCGGGGAAGGGTGGGGGTGCGTACCGCTCGACTGCAGCGCGGCGGCGGTCGCAGCAGGTACTGACTTTCGGGTACGAGATCTGGTGCCACCTTTGGAGGCGGAGCGCCGACACCGGGTCTTTCTACATCGTGTATTTATCTTATGAAAGTTACCTTGATCTCATTGTCCATCCATAGTTTGTGTGCTGTTTTCAGTTCGTTTTGTCCAATACCTGCGTGGTACACACGGCAACTTTCTCCTTCAGCAGAGAGTTGACATTCTTTCCGAGTTGTGCAGTAGACAATTCCACAGCTGTCAGGGAACTTGTCCTTTATCATGGCTGCCACTTTCAACTGCGAATTTTTGATGAGACAGAATTTTATATTTGGCCGATTGACACTATATATAATTCTAGAAACAGGTCAAATTAAAATTATGCTCTTATTATCACTTTTAAAATTATGCGATGAACTAAGATTCGAATTCAAATGAGAAACTGCAATCATCAACTATTATTTCAGATTTTGCACTAAACAGTACATGCCATGTTTGCTAAATAAATTAAAGTTTTGAGGTGATGCTACAATTATTTTTACTTATTATTTATTACATTATTTCTGCTCATTTTGAAATTTTTTTGGTGTCCTCAGAAGGATGTATTAAAAATGATGGACGACTATTAGGTCCCTCAAAGACATACCATACATCAAAATGGTAAAAATATCTACATCATATTTCTAAATTATCCAGACTACAATGTCAACCCAGGCAGTGATGAAGAATGCAAAATTTGAAATTGTGGGTGATATGTGCTGTTAAAATTTGCAGATGTACTTACCTCTGCACATCACAAAGGGCTAATATATCTTTAATTCTCTGTCTGACAGCTGGAGTTGTTGTTGCAGTGACAGCCATGAAGGGCACATTTCTGTAGCTGTTGTGTAGCCACTTCAACTTTCTGTATGCTGGCCTGGTATGGTAGTTAAATTCAATTAATAATCCAAACAATCCAAAATGTATTTAATAGTTTTAAAATGTTTGAAATAATTAGTTTTTACCTGAATTCATCACCCCAACTTGCCATGCAATGTGCTTCATCAAAGACAAATCTTGTTAATTTGTTACTCGTCCTTAATTTGTCTAAGACTGTCTTAAATGCCTGGCTGATACACAGCGTTTCTGGCGTGATGTATACAAGCTTCAGTGCTGCAGAAGAAAAGAAACGTTAGATTTTATCTAATGTACTATTTCAATCGTGTAAATTTATACTCACTGGGATTTGCAGTGTTCAAATCAGCATACATCTTTTTCGTGTTTCCGTCAGAAAGCACTGCAGCTGGTCCCTAAATTGTTATAATATATTATTGAACAGATAGTTACTTAAACTGCTCACACCAATGTTTGTCAGTTTTTGCGCCTGATCATGCATCAGGGATCTTAGGGAACTGATCACAATGGTCACTGAGTGCAACCGGTAGCTGGAAGCAAAAGGACTTCTCTCCAGTTGGCATTACTACCAGACAATCCTTATTCTGTAATATGGTCCTGATTATTTTTTTCCTGATGGCCTCGGAAAGAGGTCATACCAAATGTCTTAATATTTCGACGGGTAAAATCGAGGGTGGGTGAGCTCTGCGTGGAGCAGGAGGCTGTGATGCGGCGGCGCAGCCCCACCCCTAACAAAACGTCGCCGTCGTGTCTCGTCAGACGAACAAGGGAACCTTTTCAGGTGTAAATCTCCGATTTCGTTGAAACTAGGAAAATTTGAAGGTTATTTATGTAGAAATCGGATGGCACTTTTTCCTGAACCTCACAATTAGTTTTCCCCTATATAGGGGTAGGAGTGCGGTTTTTATGCATGGTTACTATGATATTTTTTGTAAAATGTAAGGCAGAGTTCTAAGGGGTAACTCATCAAAGTAGCGCTCTTTGGGCCAAAATTTTGTCCGTTTTGCTTTATTACCGTTGAGGCGGTAGAGGGATATTTGAGACAAAAACAGTGTAAGAGTTCAGTAAACCCCTGGTAACTGAGGTTCCGGAAAAATTCCAAGTGCTATCCGACTTCTAGTACAATAACCTTTAAATTTTCCGAGTTTCAACGAAATCGGAGATTTACACCTGAGAAGGTTCCCTTGGAAGACGAGTACGAGTCGATCCTCGGGGGCACCCAACAACCTACTCACCGTCGCCGAAGAGGTCGACAAGTACGTCTTGTTGGCAATGTGCTGCCCGACTGTGGGGTCGAAAGACCTTTCGAAGTGGTGGAAAGAGTAGGTAAGTTTCTTGTACATCGGAAATTGTGTATCGGCTGTATGAGAGCGGACGCTGCAGTGTGGCGAGTTTGCATATCCTAGGGACCGCATACTCTCTGCGGGCCGCAGGGCGGTCGCCACCGATTGTGCCCGCCCGGTCGGTGGCGACCGAGATCAACCGGAGTAAGGCGGTCAGCCGACTGGCTCAGCGACCGCGACGCGGTCGGGCTCGGTCGGTCGAAAAGGGCGTTTACGCAGAGCTCTGATTCGGGGCTCCTGCTCAAACTAGCGGCGGCAAGATGCGATTTTTTTGAATTTTGGCCATGGATTGAACCTTCCTCTTTCGAATGGCACGTCGGACGGAGTGAAATAACCAGTGGTGGCAGAGATAAAGTGACGTACATCTGCTAAGGCGGGACTCCCGGGTCACTTCGTTGCATATCCATGACTCCTAGTCTCATTGTCTCAGCCCCTGCCAACTTACCTTTACTGTAGCTGTTGAATCAGATTGGTCAATAACACATGCAGCACGCTTGTCCTTATTTGTACAGAACAGAAGCCTGCATTTGCTTTTACCCTAGCATCAGAAAACTGACAACAAGCAAGGTGCCCTTTATTTGCAAAAGGCTTACATTGCTGAAATTTTCTGGAGGCCCAGAAAAAAAGAACTTTTCTTTATTTTTTTCATTGGCTAATGATGCTTGATAAGTGAGCCTCTTTGCTTATCCCTTTGGGCATCACCTGCAATTATTTACACATGTACTCAGTAGGGGGAGTATTATTTGCATTCCCATCATTTTCATCTATAGACAGTTCTCTCATGTCTTTGCCATCAAATGACTTAGCAGAGTGTGTATAGGCAGTTAGACTATTATCTCCCTCTAGCTGCAGGTGTGTGTTGATGTACTTATATGACTTACACGCAAGAATCGTAGCAGCAATCTTTCCACTATAATAAACTGCAAATAAAAAGTCAGGGATAACTTCAAATAGATTCCTATTTCTGTCAACCACACCACTTCTGGGACTCTTCCATACTGGCAACTGACCACAGACCATTTCAGATTTGGGTTTGTAAGTTTCTGCCTTGCCTGCCTTCTGTAGCAATGTTACAAAAAATTGCTAGGAAAAAGAAGCTGATAAAATTCCATTCATCACCACCAGAGAAATTGTAAAGTCGCGTCAACTTTTCTACATTTGCCTCCATAAAAGGTTCACGGCTTAAATTGGTGAACTGGACTTTACGCCTGTTGTTCTCATATGAGGAGCACCCTCTTGCTCTTCTGCTGCAGCAACCTGAGGAGTGGCAGGTTCATTTTGTCTGCGCTTTACTCCTTCAGAAAAACTTAGTAAGCATAATTAGCGTCTAGAAAATGAAGACGAAAGTCTGCGATCAATGGCCCCCCACCACCCACACATGGCAAGCACTTCGGTTCAAACAATTAACACGAACATCTTACCATTTCGCATTTTTACCGCCTCATCTTTGTCAAACCAAGTCATAACTGACATCTTTTAGTTGAAACTCAGAAAGTTCTTCAAAACTCTCCATTTCGCTTGAACGTTGGCGGTCGGGACCATTGGACTGTCACCCCTCCTTCCTTGAATTCTAATTTGACCACTCGCTTTTCGATTGTTAACACACGCTGCTGAGGAGCGACGTGTGCCATCTGCCTCCACCGCCACTTCGAAATCGGCTAAACGACTTACGACGTTGGCTATTGGCGTTTATTTACGTTTATTTATGTAAAGTAACTCAATCTTTGTAGAGTAATGATTTCCGTGATTTCCGCTTTCCAAACATATTGAGTTTTCCCTATTTTGCGGGTTGTTTCGGTGTTTCAAATAAACTGATGCACGCACGTATCTGGCGAGCTTTTTTTGATAGCCAAACGGGGGGATGTGCACAACATGCCGCGTGGAGAATAATCTAGTCACCGGGGGCTGTGCACTGCACGGCACGCCGTGGGGGGCAGTAACGCAGCCCCCGGGGGCTGCGTAGGGTCCATACCGGCGAGGCTTTGCTTTCTGGCTGCCTTTGTGGGACTCATAAACACCGTGGTCGGAGGGATCGCACCCGAAAGCTAGAGTGTCCACCGCTCCGAGTCGAGCTTAAGCATGAGACTAGAACCGTGTAATGGACAGGAGACTGTAAGCGGCCGGGCGACCTCGCTTCTGAGACGTTGCGACCGAAAGGTTTTGCCACCTCTGGGAATTTTGGAATGTAATCAAGTGCAAATGAAAGGTACCTTCCTTTCTCTTCATGTCCCTTCTCTTCATGTTTCAAAGGAATGAAATAATTATGTCAATCTTTTTTTTTACCATATATTTGGACGTGGTGTGTAATTGTAATACGTGCAGTGTTGCACTGATAAGCATTGCGCCGTCACTCCAATTTAGGGATAATCCTGCACTCTGCCACATAGCAAGTGTCATATTGTCCAGCCTTAGACATCATCAATTTGAACCTGTAGTGTCCGTAAGGCATGACGGGGACATTCGGGAAAGTCCAATCTATTGGGGCGTTATTGACCTCGTAAAATCCCTGTAAAAAAGAAGAAGGGTTTTACAGTGGCTCCACTCACAAGGGGACTTAGGCAAGTGTAAATTTCCGATCGTGCCCAAACTCGGCATATTTGCTTCTTATTTATGTAGGTGACGAATGGCGACCAAATTTTTTCCTGAGTGTCAAATGCCGAAACTCCCTATGAAAGCGTATTATTTCGAAAAATACAAAATTTCTACTTTAGTACAAATATTATGGGACATTCTGACTCAAACTGAGCGGTTTGGGAAGGGGGGAAGTTCCTCTACCATTTTTCTATTTGAGACCTCATTCCGTCATTTTTGGCTCAAATTCAATATTTTTTTCAATTTTTTGCTCAATAAAAAACAAATTTACCGAGTTTGGTCAAGATCGGGAATTTACACTTCCCCTACATTCCCTCGGAAAACGGTTATATTAACGGTAAATTTATTTTAAATTAGTGGTCAATTTTGGTCGTAAGCAGCATAAATGTAAGATACACTCGTCAAAACATTTAGCGGACCACTCTTTTACGCCTGGATTAAATTATTTCCCCTTGAATCTAGTAAGTCAAGATTTGACATAGACATGCACCCATGTGTGCAGTTTAACATCCGGCGTACGCATCCCGTAATGGTCACGGGGGTTGAAAAGTCGAAAAAAACTTGAAAGGTTAGGGGAGAAGGGGATGCCGGAAGTGGCTAAAATTTGGTGTTCCAGGTGTCCTAGGCTAGGAACCAATTTGAAGATTTCTGGCCCGTTCCACCCCCTCCGACAAGCCACCCCCTATCCCCAGTTAGCCCCAACCTCCCACAGAGGTGTTTTTTTAAAATCTCGAACGCTATTGAAAATCTTGTGGTTTGACGTGGGCAACGACAGCAAAGTGCCTGGTTTCACCTTCGCACCCCTGGAGGGTTGTGCTACCCCTAACCGTCCAACCCTTAATTGAAATTTTCACATTTTTCACACTAAGGAGGCCTTGAAAAGTCTGGAAACTTTAGTTGAGAGCGACGATTTTCCAAAACTACCCGTAGGGTAGGGGTGACCAGTGACCACCCCTGTGACACGACCCTCAGGGAGGAGTGGTGCCACATCTGCTTTACAGCAGCGTAGAGAGTCATGGAATGCACCAGTTGTGTGAATGTCGTTCACTTTTAAGTGTGTGAATTTCCATTCGTATACTTAAAGTGTTAGAGTTTTGAATTTTTCCCCGAAAATTCACACGTTTACCCCTTTTCACCCCTAAGTGCACGAATAGACATTTACACACTTGCGTTTCCAGTGTGACGCTTTTTGATGCTTCTGCAGGTCCGAATTCTGTTGATATCTCAAATCCCAACTGGTGTGGAGTGTGGAGATAGTTGAGTTGTTATGTTGGTATCGAATTCTCTAATTAATTCTGAAAGGCAAATATTTTTGTTTGTCGCCTTGCGTTTTCGAAGGGTTGTGTAGTGCTACCCACTGGCAAAATTTGACTTCGCTACACGCTCGCAACCCAGTGCACGGGCGGGAAAGGTAATTTGGAGAGGGTGGAGGCCGGTACTTTCATCCGCCTCCCACCTCTCAACACACAACCAAAGGGGTCTACAACTCGCCTCAGCCGTGTACTTTTGAGTATAGATAAGAAGAATTATAGCGTGATTATAAGATTATTGAACGATTTTAAGATTATAGAATGATTAAAGATTACGGGATGATTATAAGATAATAAAAATATTATAGACAGATTATTAAGGTTGAATGTACAATGACTATAATATAAAAACCGACTTTGGGTTTTGTCTCACATATGAAGGTTATCAATTTGTGGAGTAAGCTCCCACTCCAAATCAGGGCTCTGTAGCTCAAACGGTTTGAGAGATATAAATCCCTAAAATTTTGATGCAAAAACTGCGTCTTTGAGAGGAGGTGGAAGTAAAAGTTTATGAATCTTTGCAGTAAGGTAAAAACTGAATACACCATTGAAAAGAGAATTGAAAACTGATTCAAAACCATCTAACGCGAAAAGTTGGATTTTTAATTCAAACCCTTGGATTAGTGGAATATCGTAACTCTCTCAACAAAAATAGATAGTCTTCAACTATCACCAAACATGGTTTGCAACTTCCTCTAAGGTCTCTTAGCATTCTCTAGTATTTGCAGAAAGGAATTTGAATATCATCTTTCTGAAAATATTAGAGAATGTTAAGGGACCTTAAAGAAAGTTGCAAACCATGTTTGGTGATAGTTAAAGACTATCTATTTTGGTCATGGGAGTAACGATATTCTGCTAAATTCATTTGATATCTTTCATCGAAGGGTACGAATTAGAAATCCAACTTTTTGCCATAGATGGTTATAAATTAGTTTTCAATTCTCTTTTCAATGGTGTAGTCAGTTTTGACCTTACTGCAAAGATTCATAGAGTTTTACTTACACCTCCTCTCAAAGATGCAGTTTTTGCATCAAAATTTTAGGAATTTATAGATAAAGATTATAGAAGATTAAAGTTTATAGATGTCATTATAAGTGATTATAGGGTCGTGTACTTCTGATTATATGAGTTGTAGACCCCTCGCACACAACAGTAAATCAAAAAGGTTCCGACCAGAAACGGATCGTGAAAGCAGATGATACCAAGTCAAAAGTTCTATTCCAGTCCATAATATTTATGTGGGAGTTCACGGGACGCCGACCAGGCCGAGCTCAGAGACCGGCGATTGCGAATCCGGCTACTTGTACACTTAGAGCGCAATAGTGCAATATGTTAAGTTGCACCCACATCTTCTGCCCTGCCCCCGCGGCGTTGCATATGTAAGTTTTAAAAAGCTTGGGTTTTTATTCTGTTGTTTTTTTTTTCCTACGCACGCACAGCCTACCCGGCAGTAAGAGGTTCGGGTAGGGGAGGAGTCCGTGCGGGGAGAGGGCTGGGCGGAGCAGGGGCTCGGGCAGGGGCTCCAGTGGTGGAGGGGGAAGGGGCTCGGCTCGGCTCTCGGGACTCGGCTCGGCTGCGCCTGGGCGACGTAGCTTGGCTGCGACTCGGCTCGTCTCGGCCGTGCGGCGACGGAAATCGAACCTCACGGCTTCACCATCCCGCCTAGCACAATATCCTAGATTGCTGGCCCTTCTGTCGCTTCTCTGTCCTTACCGAGAGTAAAAGCAATGACACCTTACTTAAATATACTTATGTGTACTTATGTTTAGTCTCATTTAAGTAAGGTTTGTAAGGTATCATTTGCTAAAAAAGTTCCGACCAGAAACGGATCGTGAAAGCAGATGATACCAATTTAAAAGTAAGCTTTGTTCTACCTTTCTCCCATATTTCTAAAATAATTTATATGATTCAAGAAAAACATTACAGACACTTCATTAAAAAGAATTGTGCCTGCGCTGTATCGTCTATCACCATATCATTCGTTTTACGGCTTGTTTACAATCCGGCGTCCTCCCTGTGTTCAGTTTAGAAGCGGGGGCTCCAGCGGAGGGAGAGGGTGTGGGAGGGGGTTGTCGCGGCCCGCTCGGCTCGGGCGTGCGGCGACGGGAATCGAGCCTCATGCCTCAGCCTCACTATCCCACCTAGCACAATATTTAAGATAGCTGGCCCTGCTCTGGCTTCTCTGTCCTTATCGAGAGTAAATGCAATGACACCTTACTTATATATTCTGATGTTTACTTATGTTAAGTCTCAGTTAAGTAAGGTTTGCATTGTATCAGCTGCTAAAAAAATTCTTTAGGGTCATGCGTGGGACCTGAAGGAGCATCGATTAACGTAGAAAAATTAAAATTCCGAGGCTGTCACTATTCATTTGTCGATTTGGCGAGGACAGCGCCACAACCTTCCCCGGCCGCGGCCGACCCCACGTTCATAGAAGGATCCTCAGTTAAACTGTGGTTTAAACTATAATGTTCCAGCTAAGGCATATTTATTGAAGGAAAAGAGCAGTTTAACTGTTGAAAACTATAGTTTTACCTGCAGAGTCCGAAAAATGTAGTACATTTTCTGTCGTTAAACTACGGTTTTACATAGTTTAGTAGCATTTTTCTTCGTGTTACTTGACTTTAGTTTTACCGAAGATCCTCCCACCCCTTGCTTGTACAAGAAGGCCCGGCCGCGCGAGCTGCCGAGGGAGAGGTTGCGGCACCAAGTCGGATGGAGTTTTTATCCGCTTGTCGCATTTTTGAAAGCTCTTTTACGAAGAATACTGGAAATGCTTATCCGCCTCCCGATGTACAGGTCTGAAAGGTGGCCAGAAACCTAAACGTGAGCATTGATTATTGCTGTGCTGCAACGGTTTTCCAATAGCAAGTTGTATTTTAAGTACATACACGTTTGAAGATGCACGGCCCGGTAGGTTTTATCTTGAAAAAAACGCTGGTAAATCCCGGGATGTTGTCTCTTATCGCACGACATACATTCTTTTTGTAAGAGAATACGAAGGCGTTTTCCTTCCATTGGTTATTTGACCGGATATCCAAAATCGCTACGCCCTGTAATGATAAAGAATATAGCCGATATGTGTAACCGTTTCCTAGTCCCTATCAAAAGCGGCAAACGTTTTGTTTTACATTATTATTGATTGAAGATTATCTTACCCCATAGTCATCACCAATATCTATTAATCCGGTAATGTTGCCAGTAACGAGTTGTAATTCTTTTGGCTTAAATGGATTGAAGTGAGTGGAACGCAAGTACCATTTCCATGCAATCGGGTGGTTGGGGTCGGGATCACACAAGGAAAACTGTTCAGTGTAGGCTATGTATGGTCCCTTTGAGAAAAAGGCATTGACATGGCAAGTCTGTTAAAACATTGCAGGGAACGATGCCTCCTAACGACAAAGTTCGATCTGCTGCGGCACGGTCACACAAAGTTCGATCTGCTTTTCGCCGCTCGCAAAAAGTCGCAAGTTTAGACCTGTACTACAGTCTTGTTGTGGTAGCATCCAAATTTTTTGTTTGGAGTAAGTTGTTCTTTGATCTTTTAATTTAAAAAACAAAAAAAATGAGTCATGTTAACACGAGGCAGTTTTTAGCCCGCCCTTCTGCTTCGAAAAAGCTATCCAGCGGGCTTATGCAAACGACCTCGTGTGTGTCTGTGTCTGTGTGTCTGTCTGTCTGTGTGTCTGTCTGTCTGTCTGTTCCACTAGAAGGAGATGTGCTAGAGACTTGAAATTTTCAGGGGATCTTAAGGTCCACTTCTAGAGAACGAAACGCCTACGGCAAATCCTGGCAACCACCCCTAAGGGACTAAAAGGGGGTATCCAAGGTTCAAAAATTCTTCCAAAATGTAATTTTCTTATGTTCTTCTAAGGGGTATCTCGTCAACGTAGAGCCCTTTGGGCGAAAATTTCGTCCGTTTTGCTCTATCTAAAACCGTTAAGGCGCTACAGGGTATTTTTTTTGACGAAAATAAGCTAAAAATTGCCATAGTGAACAATAAGTTGTAGTAAAAGGCCTAAAAACCGCAAAATTGAAAGGAAACTCTCCCCCCACCCCCGAAAAACGTTTGCTAAGCGGAAGGGTGGGTTGTAGTCACGGTGCTTCACCGTTACATCCCTTTCTCGAGTTTTTGGGTCAAACTCAAAGACGATGGGTTTAAGCGGGCCGAAGGCCCACTACATCATTCGATCATGCTCTTTAGCAAATCACGTAACAGAAATGGTCGGGCCGCAGGCCCGACCATCACCACCGGCAGGCCAAGCAGGCCCGGCCCCTGCCGAACGGAGTTGCCGGCGAAGCGGAGCTGGCAACTTCGTTTGGCGGAAGGGCGGGCCTGCTTGTTACTTTTTTTTCTGTCTGCAATATTCACGAGCATATGAAGACATTTTGACTGCGCTGGAGACACCACCAGAATGTAGATCGAAATTAGTGTAACCCGTGCCGCTGCACATTGGACTATGTGTAACCGGACCGCGGTAGATTGAACATTGCGTAACCGTGCCGTTGCAGATCGAACTTTGTCTTAAGAAGGCATCGTGAAGATATCACAGGCTTCACGACGTTACACTGTTAGAAAGTTGTCACCTGATGACACACTCTGTGATGATGTTTTTGTTTTAAAAAAAACCACAGAATCTCTTTTTTCAAATACAAGGGCTTGGAACAAAAATGAAAAAAAGTACTGGACCAAGCGACATTTTTTAACTAATTGTTTATTTGACCTTTTGCAGAACTTTGCTAAAACCTCTGCTTTTCTAAAACTAAGAGTGCTGCGAAGTCGACATGAGCATTTTTAGAAAGTACAAAGGCCAATCTAACATCTTCCGTCGAAACAAAGACAATACCGTTCAAAATAAGCAGTCAGGGTCGATTTGAAAACATGTTTGCCATGGGACCCACGCTTCCCTATTTGAGTTTCAAAGTAAGTGTGTAGGTTCACTTTTTTTATGAAATTTGCGTATGATCAATCATTTTAAGTCCTACACTAAGCAATGTAAATCGTTCCAATTGCAGAAAACTGCGAAAATCAAATTTACATGACTTGCAGGTTGCTTACCCCTGGGGCCTTCGATGAGTCGAAGCTGACCTGATTTGACTCAAAGTTCAAAGAACTTACTATCTAGGCTAAAAATGTTGGTATTTAATATGAAAATGACGAAAAAAAAACACTCAGGGATCAATATGACGCCTTTGGCCGTTCTAGGTTATCGGGAATCCCGGCCGTTCTAGTGTTAAATCGATTAACGGAAAATGGTAGTGAATATAATCAACAACGAAGTTTTGACATTAACGCTGAAGAAAGTTCTAGCGATGCAAATACAATGACTGATGAAGAAAGATGGTTGTATCATGACGTGTATAACACCTACGTTCCTAATATTCATTTAAAAACTGAAGAAAAACCAAGTCGATAATTTTTTTTTCATGGCCAACCATTGATTTATCACCAATTAACGAATTTAAAACTGAAGGGTATCATACAACGGCTGTTTCTTGCTTAATTTCAAAGGGTTTCGCAGCTCTTAGAACTCCTGATCAGTAATTTATTAGAACTGACACCAATCTAGATTATCTAGATTGGTGTCAGTTTAGGAATATTATTCCTAAACGACACATTAAAGACCATTTTGAGCTTTTAATGAGATGTCATGCCAGAAGATTTGCTACACATTCTTCCTTTGTTTTTTTTTCTGTGAATTCTATGATGAGATGGGATATTTTAAATGATAGGCATGCATTTGTTAAAAGGAATAGTGAATATGCAAACATGACACGAAGATCTGAAAGGAAAAATACAGAGTAATCCAAACCAATTGAAGAAAATCATGATCCAAGGAAGAAAGGTTAGCGGATCCAAACTCCAAACCATTTAGGGAAACTAGACAGAATTGAAGGCAATGATAGATATGAATGTACCTCCGGACCCGTTTTCATGGTCTCTGCAGCCTGAACCTACAGAAAAGCTGCTGTCTATTTTAGAAGCTTGAGCGCAAGATTCTTCGGACAAATATTGGTTTGAAAATCTGCACTAAGGTTTTCCTGAATCAAAACCACAAGGACTATAAAATGACGCAGGGGTTTTGGTGGACGATGTAAAACAATCTTGACCTATTTTATTTTACAATTTACTAGAAGGTCTTAAATTCAATTTTGTTATATTACTAATGAAATATTTTTATAGTAGGTAGTATACTAAAACCTCTGTGTCGTTTTTTAGTCCTTTTAGTTCTGATTCAGGGAAACTAAACATATGGGGCAATTTTTGTACTAGGTTATAACCTATAGAGAGAGCAGAGAATGGCTGCCTTTGCTGCCTACCGAAGGCAAATCTCTTCGACTCGAGAGATTTAAAGATTTTGTGTGTCGCTATAGTAACTGCCGCTAGATGGCGCAACGGTTCAGAGCGTCTCTAACAATAACCATTTCTTTGCATAAAACTCAAATTTTGACACGAAACTAACATTTAATTTTACGCTGTATGCTCTATAAGACAATGACCTTCAGTGAATATGAAAGTTTTTGTTCAAAAATTCAACCATGCGTCAGATATAATTGGTTTAATATCAACGCGCGCAGGGTACCTGCCAACTCTCCTCGGTTGGGTATGGCAACGTTTTCCTCACACGACTGTAGCGGTTTCTACACCGCTACATCATTTTTGTATCAGTGACTTGCAGTGTCACTGTTTAGTTCCGTCCTCCTCGGAACGTTCATTGCTTCGAGGAAAAGGCAAGATTTAGCAAAGTAGTTTTGCTAAAACTGACTTTAGCAATGCTCGAACGGGTAATTCACAGTGCACTTCTGACGAAGAGGCATTAGGTTACTGATATGACCCTTCCGGAACGGCAATGAGGAAATACTACTAATTTTTGGGTGTCGGCAACTACTGCACACAACAGCACAAAATGTTACAAAATTTTGTAATCAGAAAAGAAATATTTGTAATGCGACGTTACGAAAATTTGTAACATCTTATGTTACAAAATTTTGTAACCAGGAAGCAAATACTTGTACACGGAAAAAAAAAGATTTGCTGAGTCAGCTAATATATTGACTGGTATCTGGACAGACAAGCACATAAACTTCTGTAACCACTGTATTGGCTACCCTAATCAATCATTGGCTGTGCCAGTCAATGATTAGTTGTATGAAATAATGATTTGCCTGCATCAGTAAGGTAGACTTCGACTGATTTAGGGAAGGGATAAGCTCTTACAGCTATTTTTTGACTGGCACAGCAAATGATTGATTAGAGTAGACAATATAGTGGTTACAGAAGTTTATGTGCTTGTCTGTCCAGATACCAGTCAATATATTGGCTGACTCAGCGAATCTTTTTTTTTCGTGTACACAGTAGTTACGAAAATTTGTAACCTCGTATGTTACAAAATTTTGTAATCTTGTTACTGAAAAAACTTCCCATCAATGTTACAAAATTTT